GATCTGTCACGGGCCGAGCACCTCGGACACGGCCGATGACAGATCGAGTACCGTCTCCCGTAGCTGGTACCATGTGACCTGCTGTGACCAATCACAGCAGGTCACATGATAGTTGTATACAATGGATGGCTTCATTCATGATGCCATCCATTGTATACTAGTGCCTAGCTGTGAATGGTCACAGCAGGTCACATGCACATGTCATGTGATTAGCTGTGACCAAATCACAGCTAAGCAAAAAAAAAAAAAAAAAAAAAAAAAGCTGAATGAATCGATTTCATTCAGCTAAATGCTTGCTTATAGCAAAGTAATTCTTTGCTATAAGCAAACTGTGTATAAAAAAAAAAAAAAAAAAAAAATACTGATCACTCCCCCAAATTAGTACAATGTTACTATGGTAACATTGTACTACTTTGGTCATAGTAAAATATGAAAAAAAAATCTTTAAAAAAAGTAATAAAAAATTAAATATAATAAAAAAAAAAATATATATATATATATATATATATATTTTTTTTTCATACTGTCACCAGTCAGTGTCCATGTTCACCGCCATGCCAGTTAAATGAAGACGCTGTACTGCACTGGTGACAGTATGTAAAAAAAAAAAATAGTGAAAATAATTTTTTTAATTTTTTCATTTTCCGAAAAATTATGACAAAAAAAATACAACTTCAAAAAACTCGCCATGCCTCTTATGAAGTACGTCGGACTGTCTACTCTGCAAAAAGGGGTCATTTGGGGATATCTGTACTATTCTGACATTCTTGGACCTCAAGAAATTAGATTGGCTGTCAGTACTTCAGGATTGATCAATATTCAGATCTATACCATAGTTTGTGAACTCTATAACTTTCCTACAAACTAAAAAATACATCCTAATTTGGGTTATTTTCACCAAAGACATGTAGCAGAATACATCTCGGCCTAAATTTATGAAGAACAATTATTTATTTGTAAACTTTTATAACAGAAACAAAGAAAAATGTGTTTTTTTTTTCAAAATTTTTGGTCTTTTTTTGTTAATTTAGCAAAAAATAAAAACCCCAGCGGTGATTAAATACCACCAAAAGAAAGCTCTAGTTGTGTGAAGAAAATGATAAAATTTTAGTTTGGGTACAGTGTTGTATGACCGCGCAATTGTCATTCAAAGTGTGAGAGTGCTGAAACCTGAAAAATGGCCTGGGCAGGAAGGTGTAAAATCACACGGTATTGAAACGGTTAAATAAAAAAAAAATTGTCAACATTTTTTTTTTTTTAATTCCTTAATTATTGAAAAAATATGACAAAAAATTTACAACTTCAAAAACTTTGCCATACCTCTTACTAAATACCCTGGACTGTCTACTTTCTAAAAAGGGGTCACTTGGGGGGTATTAGTACTGTCCTGGCATTTTTGGGCCTCAAAAATTAGATAGGCCCATCAGCATATCCGGATTAATGGATTTTCAGATATATGCCATAGTTTGTGGACTTTCCTACAGACTAAATAATAAACACAGACTTGGGTTATTTTCACCAAAGAAATGTAGCAGAATACATTTTGGCCTAAATTTATGAAGAAAGATTATTTATTTGCAAGATTTTATATCAGAAACAAAGAAAAACAAGTTTTTTTTCAAAAATTTCGGTCTTTTTTTGTTTATTTAGAAAAAACCCAGTTGTGAATAAATACCACCAAAAGAAAGCTCTATTTTTGTGGAAAAAAAAAAATGATAAAAATTTCATATGGGTACAGTGTTGCATGACTGCACAATTATCATTCAAAATGCAACATTAAACATTTTATTTGGTGCTATTTAGTGATTTCAGTTTTAAAACAGACTGGAGTAATATTTTCAAGATGGAGCATTCCTTAAAATGTAATTTTGAGCTCTGCTTTAAGGTGAAGATCTCCTTTAAAGTCGGTGTCTACAGTTAGATACAAAGGAAGAATTTGTAGCCAATGATGCAAAAACCATTTATTTATCCTGATGTAATCGAGGGGACTCCAAAAATCCAACCCTTAAAATACTGGTTTTACTTAACACCCTCCGATCGGATAAAGGCAGAGAGCTCTGCTTACAAATGGGGCTAATTTTCAGTAAATAACTGTAAGTTAATTAGGAGTAATAATCCCCAAGATGAGCTGCTTGACTAATTAACTTGAATAAAAAAGAAATTTGAAGCTTGATGTGGCTTGTCAAAGATCTTCAGAGAATTCCTCGAGATATACAGTCTTTTTTTTTTCCTCCACTCTCCTTTCCCATCCCTAATTCATCCCTCTGCATTATTAATTAATAGTAATTAATATTCAAGCACCCGCGTCTTTATTTACTGATTTGGTCATTAATTCTTTATGAAAGCTGATATAAACTTTTAGATGTAATTAAGTAATTTGAAAACTAATTAATTTGCTGAGTGAAGAAAAGGGACAATGTGATCGTTGCTATTCAGTAGAGCTGGAAGGGCACTGTGTTGTGTTTGACATACGGTAAGTTTGTGGCAAGGAGGTCAAAATGAAAGCAGGTATTCAATTAAAAGTGCAAGAGCCCAGAGGGAAGGGCGCTGTAGTATCTGGGACATTAGGTACCCACATTTGTTTTAACAAGGTCCTCTGCTACTCCTTTTGGAGATACTCTGTAATTGTGTCTCGAAAAAGAGACAGCAATTACTGAAAGGACAGCAGACCAAAAATACTCAGTTACTGAATATATTAAAAGATCTGCTACACTTAATGCAAGCCACAGCACTCAAGGATGTAATTAACTACACTGCTCTAAAAAAATTAAAGTAACACATTGAAAACACATCAGATCTCAATGGGGAAAAATATCATGCTGGATATCTAAACTGATATGGACCGAGTAATGTGTTAGGAATGTAAGGACGTCCCATTGTTTGATGGAAATGAAAATTATCAACCTACAGAGGACTGAATTCAAAGACACCCCGAAAATCAAAGTGAAAAAATGATGCAGCAGGCTAGTCCATTTTGCTGAAATTTAATTGCAGCAACTCAAAATGGTACTCAGTAGTTTGTATGGCCCCCCATGTGCTTGTATGCATGCCTGACAACATCGGGGCATGCTCCTAACAAGACGACGTATGGTGTCTTGGGGTATTTTCCTCCCAGATTTGGACCAGGGCATCACTGAGCTCCTGGACAGTCTGAAGGGCAACCTGTTGGCATTAGATGGACCGAAACATGATATCCCAGAGGTGTTCTATTTAGGTCAGGCGAGCATGGCGGCCATTCAATGGTATCAATTCCTTCATGGGCATTGCTGTGCACCAGGAGGAATCCAGGACACACTGCACCAGCGTAGGGTCTGACAATGGGTCCAAGGATTCATTCCAATACCTAATGGCAGTCAGGGTGCCATTGTCTAGCCTGTAGAGGTCTGTGCGTCCCTCCATGAATATGCCTCCCCAGACCATCACTGACCCACCACCAGAATGGTCATGCTGAACGATGTTACAGGCAGCATAACTTTCTCCATGGCTTCTCCAGACCCTGCTCTCATCTGTGAAAAGCACAGGGTGCCAGTGGCGGACCTACCAGTTCTGGTGTTCAAAAGCAAATACCTATCGAGCTCTATGGTGCTATGGTGCTGGGCAGTAAGCACAGGGCCCACTAGAGGACGTTGGGCCCTCAGGCCACCCTCATTAAGTCTGTTTCTGATTGTTTGCTCAGAGACATTCACACCAGTGGCCTGTTGTAGGTCATATTGTAAGGCTCTGGCAGTGCTCATCCTGTCCTCCTCGCACAAAGGAACAGATACCGGTCCTGCTGATGTGTTAAGGACCTTCTTCGGTCCTGTCCAGCACTCCTAGTATAACTGCCTCTCTCCTGGAATCTCGTCCATGCTCTTAAGACTGTTCTGGGAGACACAGCAAAGCTTCTGGCAATGACATGTATTGATGTGCATCCTGGAGGAGCTGTACTGCCTGTGAAACCTCTGTAGGGTCCAGGTATCGCCTCATGCTACCAATAGTGACACTGACCCTAGACAAATGCAAAACTAGTGAAAAACAGTCAGAAAAGATGAGTAGGGAAAAACATGTCAGTGGCCTCCACCTGTAAAACCATTCCTGTTATGGGGTCATCTCACAGTTGACCATCTAGTGCACTTATTGTTAATTTCGTTAACACCAAAGCAGCTGAAACTGATTACCAACCCCCTCTGCTACTTAACTGACCAAATAAATATCCCTGGAGTTTCATTGACTTGATGCTATACTCTGATTAAAAAGTGTTCCTTTCATTCAAGGCTACTTTACTGAAAATGCCACCAGACCTGGTTGCCCTGCTCATCTGCTAAAGTCACTGACCCATTTCAATAAGTCAGATAAAACATCCTGACTTGGTGCATGCTTGTTCCCTATCAGTGACTGAAGAAGACCATTTAAAGTCCAAGTCTTCGTCTAATGTTTCATTTTTAAATACATAATACAGCAATTAAAAAAATAAAAATGCAACTCTGGCTGCAATATTCATCTCCTCTCCAAAGATGACCTACAGAACCTCATCTACCCTGAGACCTATTGCTAGTTCTCTTTATAGTTAAATGATGCCCAGGGTCATTCAACCACTGGGGAGGTGTCATCATAGCACCCTCCGCACATAGTAAAATCATGCAGAGAACATTCTCTGCATCCAGTATCAGAGAACTGGAGAAGAGGAGTAGAGGAAGACTTCTGAAAGTATACAAAAGAGAAACATGCAACTGGCCCTCACTGGCCATCAGGGAAGGAAGTTGGGCTTTGAGTCAGCAAAATATGAATATGGATCAAATTGGCATCCATTTATTTTTTACTTGATAAGAAAAAAGCGACTGCAGATTTATTTTATAAAGCTAAAAATATAAACACACACACACATATATATATATATATATATGTTTATAACCACCTTGAGAAAAGACATCCATGCATGGCTGGTCAGCATTGATCTTCTTGTGTATCTTGGAAAAGGTGTGAAGAATTCCGTCAAAATTTCTATGATACTCTAACAATTTCTGCCCGGTTTCCTCCTCTGAGATTCCTTCTGGTTCCACTAAATTTTTCTGAACTTCTGGGTCATCTGGCCAATCGAAGGTTGTATGGTAGACCTCTGTGGAACACAAATGTATTTTCAGAAAAGGAGTAGAACTATGCTCTGAGTAACCATGCAGCTAATATGGTGCTCTGTGCAGAGGTCTTTATACATTTTTACTCATGGTCAAAGTGGAACTAAACTCTCTCAATCAACATTATCTATCTTTAATGCTGTTAGCATTAGCGCATAGATAGGAAAGTATACTATATTTAGGTGTTTTAATGTTTTTTTACATTTCATTAGTTGCTACCTAATTTCTAGCCTAGGTAAAAAGGGGAAGAGAGGCTTTCTCAGCTAGAAACACCCTGCTGTCTGCATGCCTGAGTTAAGGACATATGGATTCCAGGAAGTAAATTCTACATGAATCATCTGCCCTTAGTCAAGATGGCTGCACCTGGGGATGGGGGTGTTGAATATTAAAAATGTATTAAACAACATTTTCAGTTTTGGTGCTCAGATACAATTTAGTTCCGCTTTAAGAAATATACATCCAATAGCCTGAAAAAAAAACCCTCACCCTGCAGGGGAAGTGGACATATCAAAGAGAATAGACTTTCTAGATTTTGAAAAATCATGACAGTTAGGGTACCCATAAAGGGACAGTCAGCTAATTTAGTCTCATATCTTCATGGAGCCAACTGGCCACTATCACTGGGAATACAGATAAAGCAGGCTAGAAACTTTGTGTCTATTGTTTCTTAGTGACAGATAGTACTGTTCATCATCTCCCCCTTCCCTCCATATAGAGGATGAGAATAATGCTGGTTGTGTGAATGCTGGCCAATTCTTCTGTCTGTGTGCCTGCACGTCTAACCACCCTCTAAGGTAGTCATGTCAAATTCAAAGAAAAAAGTATGTTAGATTCAGTGGAATAACTCCTCAAAGATTCAATATTTGTCTACCAATGGCCAGACATACTTACTGAAAAGTAGTACATAATATTTTTTTAATTAAAATTGTGGTTACGGTTCAATTTACAACATCTTACCCAGGAGAAAGGGGCCTTAAAAGCTAACTATACTTTGAATAGTTATGAGAACTGAGATTTACACAGACCAGCAAGACAGTTAGGCTGGTTTCCTGACTAAGGCAGGATGGGGAGAGATCCTTTCACGTAACAAAACAACTTATGTCCTTGGGTTCCCTTATGCTTTAGTGTGTCTTCCAGATGTACATACATCTTGTATAATTTATGGCCTACAAGATCTTTGTTACCTCCAGTAGTGGGGTCAACTCTCTTTCCCATATTTCGCTCAATAAGGACAATATCTGGGGCTTCCAGCAACACTACAAGAAAGAAAAACACAAAACAGAGAAACACATTATAGCACAAAAATTGTTAATCATAACACCCACAGCAGTTTTTGTGTGTAATATCCAAGTAGGTATATTAATCACTTTTAAAAATGTTCATTTACACCCATATAGGGGGGTACCAGCCCACAAGTCTGACTTTTTTCCCCTTCTATCTCTGTTGATGAGGAGCGGGTGATGCTTCGAAAAAAAAACTTTCTTAAGGTCAAAATCTGAATGTACTTTGAGCTTCACAGGGTTCTGATGTTAGATTTCAATGTACATTATCTCATGGTCCCTGCTTTGCAGCTAACCCATTGTTCCATTTTAACCTTGAAGTAAAAATTGGGCAGTTCAAACTGTTGATGAAAACTCTTTAGTCAAATCCATATATCCAAACCATCAGCAGATTAAGGTTATAGATACAATTATATGCAAATCTTGATTTTTCCTGTAAAAGTCTTGCTTGGCTACACCACTCCTACTTCCTTATTGTATAATGAGGTTGCCCATTACATAAAAATACCAACAGAAGGGAACAGGGCCAAGCTTGGCAATTACTGGAAAAGTCCATATTTACATTTATGATTTCAAATGTCATGAAGTTTAATTTATGCTTTTTCATTTTCCATTTTAATTTCCTTGGTTTGCACCAGATTTATTTTAACGTAAGTTTCCATATCAAACTAAAAATCGCAATTCTATCCTTTAAAAGTTTGAGATGTCCCAGCAATAAATCTTCTCCTAGCTTTTTTTGGCTTTTGCCATTGACTTAACAGTTAGTGCGCAGGTGTCACAAATCTTTCTTTTCTTCCATGCACCAATATTCATCACTGTGGGCAGTATTCAAAAAAGGAGGGCAAGTTGGAAGAAGTCCCATGGAAAATGAATTCTGGTTTGTCAATAATGGTGATTGCACTTTAGAATTAGCACGTTTCTCCTTGCACTTTGTTGAATGAGGCTGCGTGTACCCTAATGTGCTCTGATGCCATAATAAACCAGGAGGTAGAACTGCAGAGAAAATCTAAAAATGAACCTTCTGGTCAATTCCAACAAAAGCCTTTTCTAACCACCCAGTTCACTTCTGTTGCCTACAGAACAACTCCTCTATGTTACAGAGATGACACAATGTGAAGATGTTCTATTGTCCTAAAACACTTCTTGTCCTTGGTGACTGGATTAAGGTGTGTCTGTGTGTATATATATATACTGGGGTATCTTCATGACGCTCATTGCAACTGAATAAGAGGTTTGGATAAGCTATGAAATGCCTTCAACATTGCAGAGCAATCTAGTTAAATGGACTAACTCCTAGCTACTTCCTGTTCTTGCATGACAACGCTGCCCTTCCATAGATTCATTATGGTGAGTGAACATTGTCACACCAGGATGGGAAGTGTATTGCTGGCAGAATCACCAGCTGAAAATAAGAGAAAAAAATGCCTGAAAAATCAAACAATTGCAGCGATCACATGTACGGATTGGTAAGCTGAAATATATAACATATTTGTATTTAAATACACTTTAATTAACAGGATTTTATCCAGAACAGAGCATTCCTTTATGCATGTGCAGAAAAGATTGAGGTCCCTTGGTCATCTCAGTGCCAATACTTATTTGTGAAAAGAAAAATGACATTCATGTTGGCGAAACATTTAACCAGAACCAAACAGATCATAAATGCTACAATTTCAATTCAATCTATTGCTCTTAGGCTGCATTCGCACCTGAGCAGAGCGATTTTCATGAGTTTTTATTTGTATACAGGCATTGTTAGAAGAGTATTACAGGCATGTTATATGTGTACTCAAGCTTCCAGCTTTTTGTTTTAGTCAATGAAAATCAATAAGGGGAGATTAGTTAATATGGCTAAAAAAGCCTAAAAAAATGCTCAACTCAAGCGGTTTCAGGAGTTCCTATTGAAGTTTATGGGGCCAAAAACACTCAATTCAGCCTGAAAAGCAGCTCATGTACTTTTTGGAGTGACAGGCGTTCAGCTACAAGCGACAGGATGCTCAGGTGTGAACAAGGGCTATTAAATAATACAAAACCCACAACAGTAAAATCAGTCTGTATATGCAGTAAAGTATGCTTGATATACTCACTGTGGAACCTAAGGGGTTAATCCTCTGCATTGTGCAAAAATGCTGTTTGATCCTGACTTTTCTGATCCTCCCCCTTCTTCCATTGTCCCCCTCTTATCTCCTGATAAGACATATCTTGTGGAGACACTGCACATGCTCATGCTTTTTTTCTTGAGAGAGTGCATGTGATAAGCACAGGGCCAATCAGCGCTATCCAGAGAGGTCGGGGTCCTGCATGGTCCTAGAGCAGAAAGGAAACTCCTCCTACAAGCTTTAACCAGTGCTCTGCTGGACACTGATAGAAGTCACAAGACTGCTCTAACTGCTGATGATATAATGTATTTAGCAGTTTATATTTACTAAAATGATTGCAATTCCATGTAGTGTGTACTGTGGGAGACCAGACAGAGAGAATGCAGGGTCCTGGGTTTAGCAATACTTTAAATATAATGGGTTTTTGCTTGCTGACCATTTTTGAGCTAAAAGCTTTAAAATTCTCAGGTATGAATGTGGCCTAAAACTATCTGATGTCAAGGCCAATTGACGAAAAAGATAATTTATTGATAAAACAGCCAATTAATCAGTTTCTCAAAGATACCAGTCTCTCAACAAAACCATCTTTACAGTGAAGGAGCGCTGAATGCATGGCCAGCATTAACTCTCTGTGATATTCTAAAATCAAGATTTGGGGTTCTACTATCCTACAAATATTACAGACTGGTTAATTCTCCTAATGAACAGGCATTTGGCACAAGAACTCACCAACATGATCAGGAGAGGAGCCATTCATCTGTAGCAGTAAACCCTGCTCTCTTGTGCAGGGAAACCCATCCAGCACCCAGCCCTAAAATCAGAAATAAAATTATGGTCAGGCCTTGTGAGTAAACACAGAAACAGGGGCGGACTGACCATTTGGAAACTCGGGCACTGCCCGAGGGCCCAGGGTCAGTAGGGGGCCCCATGAGATGCCCCTGTTACCTTTTTCATAGGCTTTTTTGAGTTTGGGCAAGCACACAGGGGCCCCATGATCCCCTATTGCCCGGGGGCCCCATGAGTTGTCAGTCCGCCCCTGCACAGAAGGGATGTGATTTGCAGAACATAAGGGGAAAATTAAACAATGGGAGCAGTGCTCGATTATAGTGAATGACAGCATGAAAACCTGATTCCAGTAGGACAGTAGGACTTGTTGCTTTTATCTTTTAACTATTAGGAGGTTCAAGAGGGTATTTAATACATCGGTGGGTTTAAATTTCTAAAAAATGTAATGACCCATTTACACTAAATTGAAATATAAATAATAGCTGATGCTTTGCATTAACACACAGGTTTGTGTGCTCAGAATGAATGGCACCCCATTGTCGCCTGTGCAATAGGCAAATGTGAATGGATTCTGTGCATTGTGTACTGCATTGCTAAAAATAGTAATGTAATAATGGTGGTCCCTAAAGTATCTTCCATTCAGAACTTATAGTCCAGTTTGGAATACCGGAAGGTTAAAGCGGTATTAAACCTAAAAGCAAACATTTAGTATATTGTAGCTTACCAATTCTTAGATGCGGTGGCTTCATTAGTTTACTTTTTTAGGCTTTCTTTCCTTTTTTTCCACCTTGTGATCCTGTCAGTAAGTCTGTTGTTTTTTTAACAGAACAAGCTGTGCTGCAAATGCAACACTTAGAGGGCTGAGAAAAACCATATAACACTGACAGGGGTGCTTACAATGGTCAGCTTTTATTTATTTATGTAAAACCTTTAACCCAAAAGAAAAAAAACAAAACTCTTACTGTAACTGATTATAAAGTGTGAGCAGGAGTTTGGCTTTAATTTGCTAGTGTATCTAAATCTGCTAGTCCATCTAAAATGTCCTTTCCCCCAAACTAACAATGCTGCTGTCCAAACGGAAAACGGAGGGAAAAAAGCCTGAAAAAAAAAAACCTAACACAGCCACAACATCTAAGGATTGGTAAGCTGCAATATATTACATTTTTGGTTTGGGGTTTAATAGTGCTTTTAAATCAACCACAATCTTCTTACATCTCTTGCCAGCACAAAGTGGCACATAATTGTGAAGTGGAAGGAAAATGATAAATGGTTTCCAAATTTTTTTACAAATAAATATTTGAAAAGTGTGGCATGTGTTTGTATTCAGCCCCCTTTGCTCTGATGCCCCTAACTAAAATCTAGTGGAACTGCCCTCAGAAGTCACCTAATTAGTAAATAGAGTCCACTTGTGTGTAATTTAATCTCAGTATAAATACAGCTGTTCTGTGAAGCCCTCAGAGGTTTGTTAGAGAACATTAGTGAACAAACAACACCAGACAGGTCAGGGATAAAATTGTGGAGAAGTTTAAAGCAGGGTTAAGTATATAAAAAAAATCCCAAGCTTTGAACATCTCACGGAGCACTGTTCAATCCATCATCCAAAAATGGAAAGAGTATGGCACAACTGCAAACCTACCAAGACATGGCCGTCCACCTAACTGACAGGCAAAGAGAATATTAATCAGAGAAGCAGCCAAGAGGTCCATGGTAACTTTGGAGGAGCTGCAGAGATCCACAGCTCAGGTGGGAGAATCTGTCCGCAGGACAACTATCGTACACTCCACAAATCCAGCCTTTATAGAAGAGTGGCAAGAAGAAAACCATTGGTGAAAAAAAGCCACAAGAAGTCCCGTTTGCAGTTTGCGAGAAGCCGTGTGGGAGACACAACAAACATGTGGAAGAAGGTGCCCTGGTCAGATGAGACCAAAATGTAACTTTTTGGCCTGAAAGCAAAACGCTATGTGTGGCGGAAAACTAACACTGCACAACACCCTGAACACACCATCCCCACCGTGAAACATGGTGGTGGCAGCATGATATTGTGGGGATGCTTTTCTTCAGCAGGGACAGAGAAGCTGGTCAGAGTTGATGGGAAGATGGATGAAGCCAAATACAGGGCAATCTTAGAAGAAAACCTGGTAGAGTCTGCAAAAGACTTGAGACTGGGGCGGAGGTTCACCTTCCAGCAGGACAATGGCCCTAAACATACAGCCATAGCTGCAATAGAATGGTTTAGTCAGTCAAAGTCCAGACCTAAATCCAATTGAGAATCTGTGGCAAGACTTGAAAATTGCTGTTCACAGACGCTCTTCATCCAATCTGAGAGAGCTTGAGCTATTTTGCAAAGAAGAATGGGCAAAAATGTCACTCTCTAGACGTGCAAAGCTGGTAGAGACATCCCCAAAAAGACTTGCAGCGGTAATTGCAGTGAAAGGTGGTTCTACAAAGTATTGACTTGGGGGTGCTGAATACAAATATATTTATTTATTTGTAAAAAAAAAAATTTGAAAAGCATTTATCACTTTTATCCCACTTCACATTTATGTGTCACTTTGTGTTAGTCTATCACATAAAATCCTAATAAAATACATTTACGTTTTTGGTTGTAACATGACAAAACGTGGAAAATGTCAAGGGGTATGAATACTTTTTCAAGGTACTGTAGTTTAAAATTTTTATTGTAATACTGATGTTAAAAAAATTAAAATGTATGCAGTGACTATAAAACTTTTTAAAACTATACACAAGCTTTTAAAATATTAGCACACTATGAAAAATACAGTAATCTACATAATGATTACCTTCACATAAAAAAAGGTTAAAAAAAAAAATTCTAGCTTTAAATATGTCCATATGTGAATTGTGCCAGCAGAATCCATCCATATCCAAAATATCAGTCTTAGGCAGACTATGCATTTAAACCCAGAGCCCTTCTAAATCTTGTTCAGCTCAATAACGTGGCGCCATTTCCTAACACCCTCCCCCGAAAACACGCAGCTACTTATGGGGTAAGTCTGCGCTGAACTTTCACAGCTAGAAGATTCTGAAAACAAATACAGTTTTTCAGGATAAATAACACCACGAGGAGCGGGCGGTACGACAATTACAGAGGAAGCGCGCCGCAATTTGCTTTAAGGAAACATAACCTGCCTCGCTGAGATCTCATGCATATTAAACGCCACGTAGGGCTGCTAGTGATTATTTTTTGTATATTTTAGGTATTTCCTGGGGTCTCGGGTACACAAGCGCACAAATAAAGAGAGAATCAATCAATTCTTTAATTAGAATATATTATGTGGCGTCTTGACACATCACAGCCGAGCGTCGATTCCACCGTGGAGCTGCGTGCTTTGTTCAGAACAGGTTAATTGATATTCTGATGCACTTTACTCCTCTGGCTGGTGCTGGCTTCGAACCCCCAGTGGTTTGCTTCTGTTTTATCCCACATCAAAAAAGCGTATGCTGGGGGCGCCCTCAGCACAGCTCTGAGCTGGAGGCCTGAACAGCTGCGCGGAGCCCGCGATCACAGGAGGGACAAGCTTCTAGCAGATGTCACAGATAAAATGAAATCTGAGCCTTATAAATATATATGTGGACAGTCATAGGGCAGAGGAGGCTGGGGATACATACAGAGACAAGACAGGGATGACAAACAGACTTCCTTATGTACTTACATTCCACCGCACTGGTAATGAGGGCCAGGTAATTGTATGCAGGCATCTTACATGTTTTTGTGCTTTAAACATCTTCATTTTGTAGTTAACCCTGAAATTATTGCACGTTAAAGGCGTTCCAGTCAAAGTGGAAATTTCAACCTTGAAACTCCTACTTACCTACTTGGGGATTCTGATTTTCACCCTGGCATACCTGTGGTGCAATAGGCCATCCCACAGCCTTAAACACTGTTTTAATTTGTAGTTCTGCCAATGCCACCACTTGAGCCATAAAATACATAGGCTAGGTATAGTAAAGCAAGCCTCTTTTAATCACTTGCCTACCGGGCACTTATACCCCCTTCTTTACCAGGCCAATTTTCAGCTTTCAGCGCTGTCACACTTTGATTGACAATTGCGCGGTCATGCAAGATTGTACCCATATGAAATTTTTAGCTTTTTTTTCTCACAAATAGAGCTTTCTTTTGGTGGTATTTAATCGCCGCTGGCCGCTTTACTTTTTGTTGTTTAAACAAAAAAAGTGCAAAAAATTTGAAAAAAAAAAAAAGTTTGTTTCTATTATAAAATTTTTCAAACAGGTAATTTTTCTCCTTCACTGATGTGCGTTGATGAGGCAGCACTGATGGGCACTAATAGGCGGCACCGATGGACACTGATTGGCACTGATAGGCAGCACTGATAGGCGGCACCGAGAGGCAGCACTAATGAGGTGGCACTGATAGACAGCACGGATAGGTGGCAATGACTGGCATCACTGCTGGGCACTGACTGGCGGCACTGCTAGGCATTGACTGGCGCAACTGCTGGGCACTGACTGGCACAACCTCTGGGCACTGACTGGCAGCACTGCTGAGCTGCAGTGATAGGCACTGGTGGGTGGCACTGGTAGGCACAGATGGGTGGCACTGGTGGGCACATGTGGGTGGGCACAGGTGGGTGGTACTGCTGGGCATAGGTAGGTGACACTTCTGAGCACAGGTGTGGGGCACTGCTGGGTGGCACAGGTGGGTGCACTGCTGGGCACAGAAGGGTGCACTGCTGGTCACAGGTGGGCGCACTGCTATGCACAGGTGGGTGGCACTGCTGGGCACAGGTGGGCACACTGCTTGGCACAGGTGGGCGGAACTGGTGGGTGGCACTGCTGGGCACCGATAATCAGGGCACTGATCATCAGTGCCCTGATGATCGGTGCCGATCCCTGCTCTGACAACTGCCGGTTCTCGGCAGTACTTTCCTCACGCTCTGACAGCGAGAGGAAAGTGCAGCCGATAACCAGCAGTTGCATTTCCCGGTGATCAGCGTGTCATTGGACACGGCTGATTACGTGGTAAAAGGCCGCTGTGATTGGCCT